TATTAATGGTGACAGTCATGTCCCGTTACAAGATTAAATGACCATTTGTTTTTACACTTAAATGCGACATTTGACGGAAGAAAAAACAAATGTCCTGGTAAATCAGTAATGGGATTCGATTGTCACTGTCAATATAAGAGCTAATTTGCTAAGATCATGACATTTAGGAACTTGCATGTCACTTTTTTTTTTCTTTGAGATCTTATGTGAGAAAATAGGGAAAGTCTAAGGGTTTAACACTTGGTTTTGCCTTGATTTTTTTGGAGTTTGGTTAAACTCCCGGTTTGATCTCTCAATCATTGTATAAACCCTTGACTTAGTCCTTCGACTTAAAAAATCTTTGATTTGATCCTTACTATTTATCATTTTGACTCCAATTTAGTCCCTCCGTTGAAAATCCAATAACGTGCCTGATTAATTAATTGGAGCATGATGACGTGTCAAAATAACGTGGCACATCAGATGCACACCTAAAAAAAAAAGATGACAACACAACAAAAAGTGATGATATGGAAAAAATAATAATGTCAAAAAAAGCTTAAAAAATTCTTTTTTTTTTTTCTTTCTCTTTTTTTCCCCCTTGGAACCCAACACTTACTGGGTTCCTTAGAACCCAGGCTCAAGTTCTTTCGAACCTAGGCACTAGGTTCAATGGAACCTAGGATGCCTAGGTTTGATGGAACCCAAATATGGGTTTTTTTGAACCCAGGCGTTGGGTTCATTCAAATCTAAGATGTTTGGGTTCCTTAGAACCTAAGAGCAAAAAATGAAAAAAAAAATTCTTTTTTTTTTTGATGTAGATTTTATTGTTTGATGATGATGAAGAATTGATTAATGAAAAAGGCAAGACAAGATAAGGATCTGGGAACTAGGAAAAAAAAATTCTCTTTTTTTTTTTGTGGATGCTTGCTAAGGAATTGGGAGAGCTCTGTTGTTTTAGGTTCGAATGGGAAGAAAAAGGGAGAAGGGTTCAAGCTTTGTAGAAGGTGGGATCCACTTTTTTTTTGTTTGGTTTTGGATTAGAATGAAACATCATACTGCCATGTCATCTTATTTTTTCCAAGTGTGCATCTGAGGTGTCACTATATTTTAATACGTCATCATGCTTCCGTTAATTAATAGGATACGTCACTTGATTTTTAGCGGATGGACTAAATTAGGCTCAAAATGATAAATAGCATGGATTAAATCAGGGATTTTTTGAGTTGAGGGATTAAGTCAGGGGTCTGTACAATAGTTAGGGACCAAAATGGGTGGTTTAACCCTTTTTTTTTTTTTTTTTTTTTAACTCCTTCGAATTCGCAAACACAACTTCTGCAACTGAAACAGCCGCCTTTCAAATTCAATCCACTGAAATTGCTTTATCGGAACTTCAGAATTCACATGGAAGAAACATCCCTGCACCAGAGTTACAGGAATTAACTGCCGCCCATAATGAAAGACCTTGTTATCATTTTGGGTTCTTCCTCCATTGCCACTCCGCATCACCCCGATCACCACAGCCGCCGGCACCACCACTCAGCAAAAAACAAACCCAGTTCATCTCTGCACAAGCTCTCTCCTTCTGAGAAACCACCCGCAATCCCTTCAGTCCATCCTCACTCAAAGTCTCACTCTTTACTTTCTTCTGTGCGATGGGACCTCACTTCCCGCTGCAAGTCGGACCTCAAGTACTACGCGGACCTTGCTTCGAAGCTCGCGGAGGACGGCCGCCTTGAGGATTTTGTAGTGGTTGTGGAAACGGTAATTGATTCGGGTGTTAATGCTTCGCATTTGGGGGCTATGTTGAATGTTGAGCTTGTGTCTAAGGGGGTTTCGAGGAATCTCTTGGAGAGGAAAGCTGAGAGTGTTGTTGAGGCGTTGAAGAAAATTGAGAGGGTTGGGATTGCTCCGGTGAAGCTGGTTGACAAGGGTGCTTTGGAGTTGCCTAAAAGAGAGTGTCGACGACTTGTGGATTGTGGTCAAGTAGAGGAAGCTGTTGATTTAATGGAGGTTCTTGCTGGTAATAGATTTTCCTTGATTTCAGGTTGAATAGTTTTCGTCATGAAATTGGTCTCTGAAATGGATTCAGCAGCTGCATTTATAAGTTACTTTCTTGTTGACTTGTGTGAATTCATGGAGTTTAATTTACCTCTCGGGACAGCATACTTGGTTAAAAACTTGATAATGGGAATGTTTAGTTCATTAGTTGCCATGTGGAGTGAAATATACAAATAAAAAATTGTTGTGTCCCAATTCTAGGAAGATTTGGATGTGTACTTGCTCTGTATAATTTCAAACCTTCTTTATATTTGATAGCGTATGTTTCTTTGGTTCAGGTTTCAACTTCACAGTGAAAGAATTAGTGGCTCCATCCCACATTGTCAAAATTTGTGTTGATAAACGAAACCCAAAATTGGCGATAAGGTAAGGATCTCTCATGTCTTGGGTTTTGTTATATGTTGGTTCTTGGTTGTGCCTTTTTTGTATTCAACACACATTATAATGGCAGGTTCAATCAATGAATTTTAGACAGATTAGTTTATCTGTAAAGATTTTCAAGTTTTTCCTATCATTTTGGAAATCTTGTTTGTTGAGTACGGCTTCATTTAATTTTTAGACCATCAAATGTTGAAGTGCTTCTAGACACTCTACTGTCAGTTGCTAATTCTTAAACTATTATGGGTTGCAGGTATGCATGTCTCTTGCCACATGCACATATATTGTTCTGTAGCATTATAAAAGAATTTGGAAAGATGGGAGATATGGTGTCTGCATGGATAGCATACGAAGCATCTAAGAAGCAACTAAGTGGTCCTAACATGTACATATACCGCACAATAATTGATGTTTGTGGTCTTTGTGATGACTACATGAAATCTAGGGATCTTTACAAGGTATATCCTGACTGCTTCTCTCATTCATACAATTTGCTTGAAAATGCTTCATTTGGTTCAGGGCCTGCCGTTAACAAATTTTTAGATATATTACATTCATTCCATTAGCAAATTTTAGAGATTCTGCATTCATATGTATTTGCTGAAAGGGATGGAAAACATTATATTAAATGTTATTTAAGGCACTTAAGTGACAACCAGAAGTTCAGATCCCTTCCATTCCTAGTTCTGATTGCAAATAGAACTAATATAGCAGTAAAGCCAGAGTGCCAGAGTTGTGTAGGCTGATCAACACAAGTTCCCATCAAAATAGGATTGGTGCAAGAAAAACCACATGTCATTCTTGTTATTTAGTGATCTAAAGAATGCCCAGGTAAACATATAACTTTCAAAATTTAGTTCTGAGTGAGTTGATCCTGCCAATGGTAGTCTTGCAAAAACTTACTTAGAATGAACTATTTCCTTTTGTTTTCTTCTATTGAACTCCTTGAACTTTTTCATAGTGAGTTGATGTCTTGAAATATGCAAATGTGCATTGTTCTGGTGCATTCCTGACTTTTCTTTGCCATGGAGATCTGGGCTCACAGTGAGAAAAACTCTTGCTGCAGGATTTGCTAAATCAGAATGTTACTCCAAATATTTATGTCTTCAACAGTCTTATGAATGTGAATGCTCATGATTTGAGATTCACATTGGATGTGTTCAAGAATATGCAGGTAAACATTCATCCAATTACACAGAAACAGAGACATTTTTCCTTGGTTTTTGGTTTGGTGCCAAGCCTGTAGCAGAGGTAATTTGTTTACTGTTCTCCTTCCAACTGCAAATGTGAATATTCATCCAATTACATAAATATATTCAGAATCTAGGTATCACGGCAGATATGGCATCCTATAACATCCTTTTGAAGGCATGCTGCCTTGCTGGCAGAGTTGATTTAGCCCAAGAAGTTTTCAATGAAGTAAAGCATTTGGAATCAGCTGGAGTTGTAAGATTGGATATCTTTACATACAGCACAATTATAAAGGTATTTTCTCAATGCATTGTGTATGAAACAACAATTTCAATGCCTCTTAATATGAAACTGGATGATACAGCACGTCTTTCATGTTGTGTTATTCTCTTAACAACCTCTTCGTTGAAAACTTTTAGGCCTTTGCAGATGCAAAGATGTGGCAAATGGCTCTACATATCAAAGAAGATATGCTATCAGCTGGTGTTATCCCTAATACAGTGACATGGTCAGCATTGATCAGTGCCTGTGCCAATGCAGGTTTGGTTGAGCAGGCAACTAAATTATTTGAAGAGATGCTTCTTGCTGGATGTGACCCTAATTCACAATGTTGCAACATCCTTCTACATGCTCATGTTGAGGCTTGCCAGTACGACAGGGCTTTTCGTCTTTTTAACTGTTGGACGGGAAGAACACTCCAGAAAAATTCCGATTGGGATTTCAACGGCAAAACAGATAGCTTTTCAAGTACCGGGGAGCTAAACAGAACTTATATTTCTAGTGAGCTCAACTGCATACCTCTTTCAAATCACTTAAGCTCAGCCAAGAGGTTTTCCTTTAGACCCACAACAACAACATATAATATTTTAATGAAGGCCTGTGGTACTGATTATTACCGTGGGAAGGCTTTAATGGATGAGATGAAGTCTCTAGGTCTTTCCCCCAATTATATAAGCTGGTCAATTTTGATTGACACTTGTGGGGGTTCAGGCAATATACAGGGTGCCATACAGGTATGATATGAATAAGAAAGAAGATTGAGAGAGAACTTATTTTCTAGTGCAAAATTACTTTGAGCTTTCTTGTGCTTCAAATGTCTTTCATAGAAGACTATAATTTGCTAAAATCTCCTTGTAAATGATGTGTAGCAATACGTACCAATATCCTTCATAGGCAAAAAGTTTCTACCATGCATTTTTTTCCTTATTGCAGATATTGAAAACCATGCATTTGGATGGAGTTAAACCTGATGTTGTTGCGTACACTACAGCAATCAAGGTATGAATTGTCCTTGGAAAACTTGGTTGTTTTATAATGGTGCCATGAGCACTGGCCACTCACAGCTGCTTTGATGCTTCCTCACTACTGCTACTCTGCTTCATAGGTGTGCGTGGGAAGCAAAAATCTGAATTTAGCGTTTTCATTATATGAAGAAATGAAGAGATATCACATACAACCTAATTTGGTGAGTACTTAGAGTTCAAATTCCAATACTCTTTCATCATATCATTTGGTGAAAAGTGACCAAGCATGCCAAAGTGTGGGTTTAATGCTGATTCGGTCACTCAAAATGAAACCATTGAAGGATACGCTCTCAACTATTACTAAGTAACAAGACATTATCAGTTCAGTTTAGCAAGTTTAACCCTAAATTTGTTTTCCCAGGTGACATATAATACACTTCTAAGAGCCCGTAGTAGATACGGTTCCTTAATTGAAGTGCAGCAGTGTCTAGCTATATATCAAGATATGCGTAAAGCAGGGTATGATAGCTGTCCATAAACTTTTACTTTCTATGAATCTAGTTGATGAGTTGCTAGTTGCCATGAGAACTTTTATGTTTTGGAGCCAGAGCCATATGTGTGCAGCCAATCTTGTTTACCTGTACCTATCAAATGTTTAATATTCAGTTGTTAGATTTGCATGTGAACACAGAAACTATAGACTAATAAAATGTTGCTGGAGTTATGTTGGAAATATCTTTGTTATTTGGTGTGTATATCAGTTAGACATCCCTCCCATATTGAGCTTCAAGCATGCATATTGCAGGTACAAATCCAATGATTACTATCTCAAGGAACTAATCGAGGAGTGGTGTGAAGGAGTAATAAAAGAAAACTATAGGAACCAAGAAGAGTCAAGTTCCCAAAAAAGAACCGACTTGAAGAGAACTTATGGTCTACTTCTTGAAAAGGTTGCGTTGCACTTGCAGAAAAGTACTGCAGATAGCATAGCAATTGACCTTCAGGGATTAACAAAGGTACGATTTGAGTCGATGCAAAATAAAGCAACATTGATGCTAAACTTGTTCTAGAGTTGCTTCAGAGGCTGTAGTTTATTACTTGCTATTTTATCTGATAAGTTTCTATCACCCTTCAAAAATTTTCTTGCTACTTATTGGCAGGTTGAGGCGAGAATAGTAGTTCTTGCAGTTTTGCGAATGATCAAAGAAAACTACATCCTAGGTATGAGAGGATCTTCTTAGCATCTTGCATTTACCTACACATATATTTACAGAATCCTTAAATTAGGCAGGATGACAGCATACTAAATTCATATGATATTTGAAACTTTGTGAATTGGTATGTAAGTGATTCAGAACCTCGGATGAAGTTTCGTAAGATTTCTCTGAGTTTTAGCATTTTTTTATGTTTTAACTGATCTCTGTTGCAGGAAATTTAGTAAAAGATGATGTGCTGATCATCATAGGAGTCGGTGTTCTGGATGCAGATCCTAAGTCTGAGGTTAAAGATTCAATAATCAAACTTTTGAAGAATGAGTTGGGACTTGAGGTCATTTTGGTCAAGACAAAAGTGACAGAAGATGAAAGAGTAGATACGGAGAACCTTAGCAGCTCCAATCCAAATATAGAAGTTACAGTGCGAAACAATAAAGTACCCATGAAGTCCTTATCTTCTACCAGGAGACCTGTAATTCTCCAAAGGCTAAAGATTACAAAGAGATCATTGCATCACTGGCTGCAGCGAAGGATAGGTGCTATTAAAAGGTAAATAGTTGTATGTACTAATCCCAATTTTGCGTATAGATGTCCATTTCTTTATAATAAAGAACAACTAAAAACAGAGTAAGTCAATGCATCATTGTATTCTCTTGCAATTCAATTCCAGTCATATGTATAGCCAGCTTTAATCAAATAAAATAAAGGTGTTCTCCTTCAGAGTTCATTTCCCCAGATTAATTTTTTCCCTTCTATTTTCTGTTTATCCTTACTGTTGTGGAAGTGCTTATTCAGTCCCTGTCTCTAAGGCATTTAAGAGATAAAAAGAGAGATGATAAAAATGAAAGCTTGTTGGCGCTGTATAACAAACTCAATTATTAGACATAACACTAAGACAAGTACACAGAATTTTTGGAAAACTACAACACTTTCCAATTCTAATAGATCAGGATCAGCCTCAAAGTAAACAAGGAAGCATAATTATTACCATGTTAGAATCTGGGTGCTCTTGATCACAGCCAGTCCTGTTGCTGCAGTTTCAAGGGCAAATAAACCTCTGACAAGTATTGGAATCCAAACGAGCTCAGTGCCTGAATCTCAGCCTTCTGCTTGGTTTTCACCATCAAGTTCAACTCCTCCACCCATCCCGGATTCTTCTTCACAAAATCCTCCTCCAATAAATCCTTCCCTGTCTTAATATCCTGCTCTGTCATTGGCAACCTGCACTGCTCCGGTATCTTATACTTGTCCAAATCACTCGGCCTGATCCCCAACCATTTAATATCTGGCGTTGTCAAATTTGCACTGTCATATGACATGTTCTTCGATCCACAACCATAAACAGACAGAATCTTCAACCCATAGGGATCACTATCCACCAATGCCAACACTGGCAGCTTCAACTCCATCTTCATCTTCCTCAGAAACAGCCTGGTTGCCACATCTGGCTGCCCCTTTGCAGTCACAATTATACATGGAAACCTGTTGTAGAACCTATCCTCTGCCAACCTAATATATGCTGCATCCTTCTCTACTAAGAGAACAAACAATGCATCACTCTGCATATCCCCAACTCTGTCAATGTTTGGAGGAATTGCCTTTCCTCCCATCCCCATTTTGGTGCAATCAATCATGTCCCCATTGTCGCTAAAGATAAGCCTCCCAACAACCACACCTTTCTCTGCCGCAATCACATTTAGGCTGGACCTGGTGCAACCCAGCATACAAGAAACATCATCCAAAACAGCGTCGGACTGGGTCTGGTCTTGGAAGAGCTTAACGTCGGTGTAGAAGAGGTCTCGCTTGGTGACATGGATGCTCTTGAGGCAGAGCTGGTGGACAAGGGAGAGAATCTTGGCAGTAATGGTAGACTTCCGGACAGATGAGATGTGGGCAAATGGACGGAGGGTAGATTTGTCCTTTAAGACGATGCGATCGAGCTCCGGGACGTAGAGTTGGTTGGAGGAAGCGCGCGAGGGGACGGAGAAGGAGAAGCCTTGGCCGGAGAGGATCTGGTGGGTAAGTTGGAGGACGAGGGTCTCAATGGCTGATTGAACGGAGGAGAGGGAGAGATCGGCGACCTCCCGACATGTGGTGGAGAGGGAGAGGTCGGCAAGGGTAAGAGGTTTTGAGGAGGAGGAGGAGGAGGAGGCGGCGGCGGAAGATGAGGGGAAGGATTTCAAGGTTTTGAGGATATCTTCGTCGGACTTCAGAAGATGCTTAAATGGTTGAGTGCCGTCGTCGTCGTCGTCGGGGTTCTGACGGCGGCGTTTCTTCTTGTCGGCCATGGTGCTGAAGGTAAAACCTCAAACGGAAGGCGGGAAATGAGATTCGTGTGTTAGGGCTAAGAGAAGGGGGACACTGAGATTTGCCCGCGACCGCGAGCGGCGGATGTGGTGTGGCGTGGCGTTTTGGAGCAACGGAGGAGGTCCAAGATTTGTTTAAAACAGCGTCGTTCCATTCAAGCAAAAACCCTTTCTTTTTTAGGGCAAAACCTACT